CACTGTAGGTCAAGATAAAAGTATAGTATCGATGTCACATTAGAGGTAGAGATAGATGTGTCAACAATATCTCTCTATAAAGTGCATCGGCTAAGAGGCTAATATTTGAGCGCAAGCAGGAAGGAAGAAATGAGATAATTGTTGTGTATAGAAAGAGGGAGAAGATGAGAGATGAAGAAAGAAACGTATAGCAAGGTCATCATCAGTGCTTAAGGAAAAAGAAGAAGTGTACAATCATAGGTTGTCACAGCCATTTTCTATAGATCGGTAAGACAACCGATCCACACCGTAGCTGCGAGTGAGCGTATCTATTTATTGAAAGCGATAAATGAAATATGAATGCACAAATAACCAAATATAAGTACTCATTAAATTATCAAATTTAATCTACCGTCATTATATCTGGTGCAATAACCATTTGTCTTCTTCTGTCATATATTCGAAAGAAAACTCCAATAATAAATGGAATCAAAAGGCTTAGTAATATTGTTAAACATCCGTATAAATCAAGAATAGTTGTAAGTATATGCAACGCACCAAAATTCTGTATAAATGAATAACTACATTCTGTCGAACTACATTTTCTTGAATAATTTAGATAAGAATAATTCTTATTCCATTCATTAACAAATAATCGATCAATCATGTGTTGAACAGTTTCCCTAATACCAAATTTAGTTTCTGATTGCAAAGGTTGAATTGTTATATTTATCAAATCTTGATGAAAACTAGGTAGAATTAAATCTAAACATGTTTCATTATAGAGACATTCAAGTGAAGAATTTAACATAGCTTCAATTGGATAACAACCAAAAAATAAACCATCAATAGGTGTATTATTGAGCATAGCTAATTCTACGCAATGTAACGATGTTCCACATGTACATTGCCCATTATTATATGTTACCGGTATTGCATAAACAATTGATTTACCATTTACCGGGAAAATTTGATATTTCCAAGTTTTTTCGTTAATTGATAACAAAGTGTTCCCATGAAAAATTTCACGAGCTATTTGAAAGATTTCTTTGAATGTGTGTCGTGTTGATTTTTTAAATAAATTAATAATTTCATCAATTCTATTTTCAAAAATATTTTTACTGATTAATTGATTCGTGATTAATCTTGTTGAATAAAATTGTGTTAAACTTGAATTAATCGTTTCTTTTGTTAATCGACATAGTGACTTAAGTGCTTGAAATTGAAGTGATGCTACGTCATGAAAACTTGAATGATACAGGTTACCTATTTGAAATAAATGATCAATCCATTTTTGATTCACAAAATTTGACGAACAAATTTCATGATAAACTGGTGTAAGTTCAATAAACTCTTCATATTTTATTGATATTTCACTACAGGCACAAATTAAAGTACTTGGATATTTCATGTATAATTGTTCATATTGCCTTAAANCTTGTTGCGCGATCAACTTTCAATGCCCTTCGACCACGAGAAGTAAAAACGGCGACACGACATGATACGGGTATCTGTATAATTCATGAGAACATTGACTTGTTCTTCAAGGTTTGTGCCATCTGTATGTTGATTCAAACTTTAAGTAGTTTCATTATAGGCTTGGAACAACGACTATCAAAAATGTGCTGGTATAGGTGCTTTATCAGCAACCAATAAGATTAATATGAAAGATCTAATTAATCAAATGATGTGCCCAGACTCGAATGGAAAGTGCTTCAGTGGTAAATGCAATAATTGTTCATCGAAGAACGATCCATTTGTGATGGTGTAGATAGGTTTCTCAATGAATTACACATTGATACGTCAGCGTGAAGTTCAACAAGGATTCTTTAGTTAGCACCAAGTCAGCTTATTCACAATCCATCTTACCATTGGAGATGAACATACAAATTTAGCAATTATAAGCAAATATATGGAACATACAACAGCATTCGTGCACTGTGCACAAAAAATTCTCGTTGAATTTATTAAGAAAAACTTTCCATTGTTAAAAAAGATCAATTATGTGAGGTAAATCCTATTTTTGATGTGCTTTACGTGCTATGTTATCTCTCTTCTTTCGTTTAGTGATGGAGCACCTGCTCATTTTAAGAATAACGCTAGTATCTTGAACCTGATTTATCACAAGCGCGATTTTGGTTTGGATGTTTCTTGGATGTTCACAGCTACGGGCCATGATAAAAGTGCTGGAGATGGAATTGGTGCAGTGCTAAAGTCTACTGTCAGACATGATACACTTTCCAAGAACATTCTCATGTCAAACGCAAAGGATTTTTACGAGTTTTGAAAAAAACAACAACTTGAACCAGCAAAAAGATCCAACAAAGATAATCCTCCTGTTAATATCTTCTATCCTAACCCGCATCAAGTAGAAAAGGTTAAGAAAACTTCCGTAAAAACTAGAATCCAAAAACTTCGGGCAACAGGTAAGAAGACTTTTGACTTTATTCTCTTACGTTGCTTTTACTTTAAGCACAATACAAGGTATTCGTAGTATGCATGAATTTAAGCCAACTGATCATTCAACCGTTCAATATAGTTTGACGGCTCGATCAAGTCAAATAAGAATTTTTACATTCAAGTAAAACTTCTTTTTTATGTTTCTCCATAGACTGAATTCTTGTCAAAATCATACATGATGACGATATCGAGTATTCATAATGAATAGCTCTCTTCATCACTACACTAGCTTTCTTTCGCATAGAATTCATCACTTAGGATTAATTTTGTGACCAAGTTTAATGACATCAACTTCTTTATAGCTTTACAACGAAAATAAGACAAGGTTTCGTCGAATTAATTGAATTTAATTCATATTCGTGCAATAGGACTATTATCATATACATAGAAAATGACTCACCACATATGAAATTCAATAAGATCAGTCTGATTAGACAATTCCGAAAAGAGCTTTTGATGAAGTTCCAGACGTCTTTCTGTCATTTTTTCGATGTATAAAAAAGCTAAAATACTCGAAGTTTTCCGCAGACAGGACGCAATTTTTTTCACCAAAAATGTTTTCTAACATAAATCGGATGTTTGAGCCGAAAAATAACCTTTCCAGAAAGTGGATGGGTCTTCATGGATTGGCCCATATATCGGTCTGTTTATTCTTATATAAAACAAAAAAGATAAGAGAGTGTGAGTGAAAGTGAATCAGTGTAAAACAGATTCATTCATATATATCTAAAATTTTAAGTTAATTGCTATTTTCGATTTTTGCGTGGGCATAGCATGTAGATGTTAAAGAACAAATGTATCATCCATACCCTGAGAGATTTTCTTTCTTGAAGATGCAAGTGTGAACATATTAATAAATTTTTGAAATTTTTTCGAACATTTTTATTAATCGAAGAATTAATTAAAATTTTAGTAGATAAGTTTGTCATCATTATCACAATGTTAATACCACCATTTAAAATAAAATTTATTGTTTACAGTTTTAATTAAGTGATTCTTTTTTAATTCTTGTGATTCGATTATAGTTTGTAATTTATCAATCCAGTTTGCATTGACATCAAATATGCATAATGAAAATTGGTTATATGCTGTCTGATTCGTTTCTGTCAATACATATTGAAATGTTGCTTCAAGAGACTTCTCAGACATTCCATAAATGAGATATTGTAATCTAGGGCAAAGATCCATAAAAAACTGTACCAATTTCTTTGTATAATGTGCATTGAAAATAATCGTTTTAATTTGATTGTGATTGACAATATATTGATAGCTTTGACCCTTATGAAAAGACGATAATCCTTTTGAGCGCGTAGTTGTGAACGTAAATGTAAGACTATGAACATTTGGCGTGTAGTGTAGTATACTAAAAATAATATCAAATCCATCCATTACCGTGCAAATAGCCAAACTGGTGAGCTGCTTGAAAGAAAGGATAAAACTTAATCTTGCACCGCTAAGGTAAAACGAATCAACACAGTCACCACTGAGAGTCATTTTTGTGACATTTGGAAAGTATGGAATACATTTACAAGATTCAACCATTTCAGGAATAATTAAATGGTGAATAGAACGATAATTCATATCTACATGACATTTTGAATTCATACAACATCGATGAAGTAATAGAAATGATTGGCGTCTATAATATGATAAATAAATCAAATTAATATAAATATGTCTTGCTCTTACTGATATGGTTGAATAGAACAAAGCATCTCATGTAAATCTTCATCTGACATTACTTCATGAGTAAAAAACCATTGTCGTATAGCTGGCGATGTTGATGGATATTCGTCATACATACTACGATATAGATTCATAATATGAGCACACTCTGATGGGTGTTCAAAAGTAAAACTATTGAGTTTGAAATGTGGAATGTATGGTTGAATAAATTTATCCCATTGGTATATTCCCCCGTAACAAGTTGATGAAATATGTAATACTTTAATATTGAATAAATGAATTTTGATAAATTTGTCTATGTCGGGCTGTGTAAAACAAGATCCCATGATAGAGATATGTTTTAGATCGTTAAAAACAACGGCAAATATCAGTGATAATTCAAGACCAAACGTACGTCCGTATTTGATAGATAAACGCTGCAGTTTAGGTATATATGATAAAATTGCACTAATATTATCCAAAGCAAAACTATCATAAATGACTAGATTTTCAATGGGACTTTCTACTGAATTTGATGACATTGGTAATGACCACACTGGATTATTGTCTTCAAAATGAAGTTTACACAGTTTTAATGCTTGAAGATGAAATATACTTTGATAAATATTCGATTTATTTGCACCCTGACCCACATGAATAGATAGAGATGATAAATTGTTCAATGAAACTAAATTATGAAGAAGATTTTCGAGACACTCAACTGGTATTTCACATAGTTTTAATTGACGTAAATGAAAACATTGTGATATAGTTGATGAAAAAGATTCTGCGACAAATGGATCGAGTAAATATAAAATTTGAATTTGATGTTTATTTGGTAGAATAAAATTATTATAATAAGATTCAAAAAGTAATTTCGACGTTGATATCATATTGATTTGAACAGTAAGTTGTGTTGAATGTGTCGAAAGATTTTGAAATCGCGTATTGAGCTCGAAGAAACTTTGATAAATATGATGAGCATCGAGATAATGAAATATTTCATAAATAAGTTCATTGGAAAGATGTTCCAAAGAAGAATTTGACTGGAACTTTTTATTGGTAATATATTTATCATTGGAATTGTCGAATGTCGAATTCCATGATCGTTTCTTATCATTCATATTCATCATGACTAAATAACTAAAAAAGTAGTACTATACAATTAGTTTTATACTCGATAGCAATTTCATATGATGGTGCAATTACATCGTTATCTCTTTCATCTGAAAGATAAAAAGCGAAAAGAAAAGAAAAAGATTCTAGATATGAAATGAATGTTACAAAAGAACGCTTAAATTATCTCCATATTTTATTATTATCAGCGTTTATAACAGACAAACAAACTTTCTTCTTTATATATATATATATATATATATATATATATATATATATGTAAAAATATTTGTCCAGTGGAAGTATTTCGAACCGGAGAGGTTCTTGCGTTCAATAAGCTGCGTATTTGAAACAAATATGATTATCGTGATATAAGAAACATGTGAGAACTTTGTTCCAAATTGTTATGCGGAATTGAAAGGATTATTTTATTTTATTTTGTTTTAACAAAATAAAACAAATAAAAGTTGAATTCTATCTGCCGATCGGTTATAAGAGTACATGTATTAAAGATTGGCAGACATACTTCATATCTTGAGGGTGGGTGTGGGTGAATCAAAGCTTGCCATGATCACGATTTCGTCCCTGCTAGAGGATTCATCAGATGGCTTTAGGCTGTATAAGTTATCCAAATGATCCGAAGATCATAGATAAACCTATGTAGTCTGTGTAGTTCGACAGCTATTTGTAGTCTTACTAGGGCAAGGGACCGTCCATATGCTTGTGAATGATACAATATTGAATTGAGTGGCTGAGAAATAGAGTCCGGCGGGACCAGGTTTTCTTGTCCCGATCCCATTAGAACCCGATTTTTCGACATTCGCTAAAAAACAGTTTTTAATTACCTATATTGAACATGGCGTCAATTAATAGTATTTCAGGACATTATGATTATTTTCCTAATGAAAAGTGACATCGGAACATATACTCTGAGACTTTGAGCTTTGTCGATGAGACACTATATCAAACTAATCAACGAAATATAGGACCGAATATTCATTCGAAATAGACAAAACATATCAAAAGTCGACTTAAAGAAAAGATCGAGGGGCGGTCACTGAGGACAAATCAAAATGGCGAGGTATAGGTTTGAAAGAAAGAGATCATATGATCGAGAACTATATGTCGATACTATACAGCTGTATTGTCAGTATATGTATATTAACATAACCTGGATGGAAAAGTATTCTTTTTCTTTGATACTAGATTTCTTTGCTAATCGTTCAAAATTTTTCTTGTTTTCATCACAATATTCTGACTTTCTTCGTACACTGTTATTCGTATCGACAATACTATCGTAAATTTGTTCGAATCGTATCTTTTCTCTGTGTATCAATACTCGAATTAAGCTTCTACAAAGCATCAAAGGTATTTTGTCAACAAATTGAATCGTATTATCTTTATTACAATAATGAAATACGAAAAAAAAGAAATCAGAATCTTTATCGAACAAAAGGATCCTTTAATCGAATTTATGAAGGCGAAACAAACAGCTAAAGCATCACCATTGTGGCCTTCTTTTTCGCAAGTATTTTACAGCAAAATAAAACAGGACGTGATTCGATACGATAAATGCGGAACAATTCTTATACACAAATCCAGTGACGGAACGAAGGTGAAGTCAACTCATACAAAGGCTTGCAGAAAGAAAAAAACAACTCAATACTACTCAACAAAGCGCCGATGCTAGTTTGAAACGAAATTCAACGTCTACACAGATAAAAATTCCATCGCAACTCAAGCAGTTGATTACCGATGCATCCGTTGAATTCGCTTTTCTCGATAGTCGACCCTTTGAAACAGTTAAAGGAGATGAATTTGTCAATTTAGTTGAAAAAAATCTTGGTCGCTGGCCAGCGGTTATCAGCACTAACAGGCGCACAAGTGAAAGACTTGTTACCCGATCCGACGACGGTAAGCAGATAGCATGGTCTTCTAGAGTACTTAATAATTTAGTTTATGCATTATATCAGTCGGAACGTCGATAAAGTATATGAATTACGTAAGAAGCAATTGGTTGACTGGTGTCATTTGATCGATGAATTCTGTATCACGGTAGACTTTTGGAGCGCAGGCCATACTGGTATCCATTTTGGAGGAGTCTCTCTCTATCATATTGACCACAACAATGAATTGTATGTGTTTATTCTTGGTTGTTATCCATACGACGAGGGTGATCAGAAAGCTCCGACTATTCGTGCGTTTGTGGAGAAGTGTCTCGAGGAATAGGGATTGCAACTGGACGGTGAAAAATATGTGATGAGTGATAATGGAAATAAGATGAAAAGTGGGTGAGGGTGAGGGTGTGTGAGGGTGAGTTTAAAAGTAATGTTTAAACGAGTTCAAAGTTAAAGAACCATATCTTCTGTTCACAGATATCAAATGATTTAGAACAAATGCAACCACAGTGATATGTCTAAACAAGTACGAATAACTTGTAAAGAAAGATCACAAAATCAAAGCAGGACTCGAAACTACATCTTCCGATAACCGGTCGGCTGTTTTACCAATTAAACTATTCGATTTTCTCTCCAGTTAATTAATAACTGCATATCAAAACTAAGAATAAATCGAGATCAATAGTTCAGGACAGTAGTAATCAAATGATTTACTGATAATGATTCTTATTGTTGCACGAGGACTATAAGAACCTAGTTAAGCAAATAAAGGAACTTCGAATGCAGCAAAACAGAACTCTCTATCCACGATAAATAAATAATATCTTAAAAAGACATTAATATTTATCAGGACAATAGAGTTACTACATCCTCCATAGCTTTCTTACGAAACTAAGATCTTTGTTCGCAACAAGGTCGTAACAGCTAGGGTGAGTTTGAACATAGAAAGAAAAGAATCAAGGGTGAGGGTGAGGGTGGGTGTCGATGTGGGTATATCTCTCTTCTTCACTCACATTCCGCCCCACCCATACCCACACCCACCCTTTTTTTAGTAATAAAGTCAATACTCCTGGACGTTTTTACTTGCTTAGTCGACGATATTATGATATGAGCTTTGGATACCCAGTGTAATGATATTTTATGACATCTATGAAAAATAAAATTTTCATTTTATGCAATAAAAAGAAATATTAACATATTATTGATAAAAATCGGTTATCAGAACCGAAAAGGGATATTATGGTCAAGTTTATCAGTGATTTTGGTTCGTTTTTACTGGTAGAACTGATTGAACATCGAAATGATCAAGTTGATTTTCAACTGCTAAATGAATTTATCATTAAACAAACAATATTCTGATAAACTAAGGATATATATATATATAATGATATCTCTTAAAACTAAATATAATTCAATCGTTTAGAAAATAATTAACTTAAATCTACTAGTACACAAACGTTTCATAGAATTATTTTATGTAAGCGTTCAATATCATCTTAATGTGAAAATACAATATCTAAATCATGTTGAAGTAAACTTTCGACAACGTAACTATTTATTTGTTTGACTGAATATATTACAAGACTACTTATATGAAGAAAAGGAGGCTCCAGATAAGATTCTATTATTTGTGGTGAAACAATATTATCTAAATAAAGATCATTTGACAAAACACAGTTTATCAAGAAATATATATCTAATAGTATTTGACGCAATAAGAGAGGAATCAATACCACTTTTCAACAATTGATGAGCATCTTCAGGGATATATTCAGTGACTTTAGATTACTGACTATTATTTAAGAAAATCTACACGTGGATAAATATCAACGAATACAATATGAACGCGACTACCATGACTGGGAAGTATTTTATCGATAAATGTCAGCATATTCTGTTTGTTAAGAACTGTTAAAGCATATACAGTTGAGTGCAAAAATAGACAGAAAAATCGTTTCTAAATGCATTAATTATGTTGAACCGATTGTTAAATCTGAAGATGCATACAAAATAAATTTGTTTAATAACGAATATGAAATTACAACAATCTGCAATTTCTTTTTTTATTTATCAAAATAATTCATAGAAGTGTGCGCGAGAATGATTAATATTTCATTGAACCCAAAAATCTTCTCCTTTATCTTCGATACTTTTCCATGTACAGCTTGTATTACCATGAAAACTAACAGGAATAATTCGTGGATACGCTGCTCGTTCTGCACCAATTAAATATACACGAATTCGGCTGTTTGATTGAGATGAATTAAGTACTCTTTATTGATTCAATGTCAATGGATATAACATATTAAAATCATCTTGCTCATAGATAACCCATCCATAAACAAATGGTAATAATTCCGAAACAGTAAATGAGATCTAACGTAAGTGATGATTAATATAGAAAGTATAAAGGATAATTGAGAAAATTATTTTTGTGAATAGCATTTTATTCAAGTAAAAACCCGAGCGATTTTGAGAGTTTCAAATTCTTAAATAAAACTTATAGCATAACTCTTCTTCTATGAGCGAAGGTTTCGTTGAATTTTACTTCCACTATTCCATGTCTCTGTTGATATTGAACATCGAAACTCAATTTCAACTAGTTTAAATTATTTTTTAAATAAAACACTCTGTTGCAGTATCAAAAGAGAAAAAACGAAAAAGATCAACAACAGATGAGAAAAAAGTATTTGTCTTAATAATAAGAGCGATCGGAAGATGTCCAATTATGCAATTAAATGAACGTATCTTTTGCTAAGAGTAATTATTCAATCATTTATTATTTTATATTCAATGAATATTTGATTAAATAAATCAATAATAACTAACAATTAGATATTAGAAAAATAGGGAAGAAATATATGTCGATTATTGTATATGCAACGTGCAACATATTAACCATAAGTCCATGACATGCTGAATCTTTCACGTGTAGCAGTCAGTGTACGAGGTGGTTGCAGCAATAAGTCCGGACGGTTAAGTCCGTGAAACACTGCATCGATCACTCTACTGTTTACACCGTCGCCCTGGTGTTCACAAAGATAGATAAGTATGGTAAAACCGCTTCCTATAGACACAGTAGGCGCATGAATTAAAAAGTTCAAGCTTTTTAAGGCAGCCAGTGCATGCATAGGTTCTACCATGTAAAAACCATTTCGAGCGACGAAGCATATTATTTGACAGAATTTTACGTTCCGACCTGGATCAGACTCATTTACGTTGGTGATAGTATGAGAGTGTGCAGCTAAAACAATAAATTACATTTTATATTATTAAATTTGGCGTAATTATTATTAACGAAAAAAATGTGGTGCGTATGTGAAAGAATTAAAACTCCCTTTTCTCTAACTTTTATCAATTTAACTAAGTCCTGTCCCATCTCATGCAAATTTTATCATGTTGTCAATACTGAAACAATTTCAACAATCAATCGAGAATTCGAGAGGCAAAAAAACTAACTGTTATCAACATGCCGTTGCGTTTGACTTGACGAAGAGCCCATGAAAGTATTTACGTTTGCTGATGAGTATGTCTTGAATAAAAAATATGAAATGATAATATTAATATTCTCATGAAATTTCTTTTGTTTCTAGATAACCGTTATCAGAAACTCTTTCTTCATCAAGTACTATCAAGGTTAGATGAAATATTCCGTATTTTTCTTGTTTCTAGTTTTATTTCGTTGAAGAAAAAACATGAGAATTAAAACACTATCGAAATGTTTATCAAAGTTATTGCTGTGTAATAGGTTATAATGTGTTCGTAACCAAAAAGAGTTTAGTACCTAATGCTTCAATTTGATCTTCAGTCAATGTGTCTTCCCAAAGTTTATAATCTGTGAACCATTGATTATATTCTAGTGGGCAATCATCATCAAAGATTTCGTGTTCATTAGGTTGCTATATGTTTAATATTGGCATGAGACGTAATTGTTCAGTCGTTATATTTGCTTCAGGATCATGCAGAAGTGATATTAATAATTCATAAGCTACTACACAGGTTGACTTTTCAGGTGCGCTGTTATCAGCTGAACGTGGGTGTGGGTGATATTACTACCATGATCGATTTCGAACTTGTCATAGTTCGTTTTCAAATGGCTTAAAATCTAAATTCTGATTTTATATCATTAATTCAATGTAAAATCATCAAATCAACAATATTTAATCAAAATCACTAGATTAAGTACTCTGATACAAGCAAAATTCATAGAAAATATGAATTTCACCTATATTGATACTTTTTTCATCTTGAGGATGTGGGTGTGGGTGAGTCAAAGCACGCCATTATCGCGATTTCATCCCAGCTAAAGGAATCATCAGATGGCTTTAGACTGCATAAGCTATCCAAATGATCCGAAGATCATAGATAAGCTCACATAATCTGCGTAGTTCAACAGATAGCCGATAAGAAACTGTTCGATGTACCGCTCATATGGTTGCGAATGGTACAGTATAGATTATGTTCGCGTTGTTTATATATTGAATTCTGGTGCTGGGAAACAATGACGTGAATGGGTAGTAACATCGGATTAGGGTGACATCTTATAGAATGTTAGAGATCTTGTGTTTGGTTGTTTATTGTAGTGTGGTGTTGTCACGTGGCTTTTTTATATGAGATATATTATATCGGTGTTGGTTTGGCTTGAGTGTGATGTTGCGCACGTGTTTAAACTTGAAGTCTGATTTTGGGTGCTTAGATACATGTTCAAAAGTTGAAGGTTTTTTTTTGAAATATTTAAGTAGTGTAGGACTCGTGTTGTACGGTTGCAGTAGTTGTAAATTGCCCCTGTGCGTTGCGGATCCTCACTTCACTCTTAACCTCTATGCACCCTCATTTGCATGCTATCACCGCTGTGCTAAACCCTTGACACCCACCACACACCCTCGTTTTGCTTATAATCCTTCGGCACTCATCGGGCACCCTCACATTGATATCAACTCCTCCGCACCCACCCCAAACCCTCACGTTGATATCAACCCATCCGCACCCACCGCACACCCTCATCTGGATACTTACTTGTGTGCATTGATCACACACCCGCTCATTGATAGAAACCTCAATATGCCCATCACACGTGCTCAGACTGATCTGGAATGATTGAAACGCTTGGATAGGTGAGGAGTTGAAAGAATATTTAAATTGAAATTGCATGTTAGACATTTATGGATATCAGGGCGGTGAAATCTGTACTGATATCATATATGGTTTCGTGCGAAAGTGGAAAGATCGGTACTGTGACTAAAGATTGTTAGAAGAATGATTCTGTGATCAAAGGTTAGACGCAATAGGCTTTTTGTAGTTTATTTAAAAAATTTTGATCTATAATGATCAGGCAAAATCATGGTATGTATTGTTTAGGAATAGTGAAAATACAAATGCCAGGCAACGTATTAGTCAGATTTATTGACAACAACAAAATACATGACATAAAGATGAATCATTCTCAAGCTAGTTATCACAATGAGAGTCACCGTTAGTCTAAGGAATATGAAGAAAACGACACAGTTAGTTGAGAAAATGAGGAGTGTTATTGTTTGTAGTTGCTTTTGTATTTGGATCGGTAAGATCACTGGCGATAACACCAACACCATGCCAACCTCGTGTAGATTGCAAAGCAACCTTTCACGAACATCTGATGGTACGTTTAATTGATTGATCCGATCGAATAACAGCTCAATTAGTTTATATTCAATGGTTGTACGATTGTTTAAGAGGAACATGNGATCGGTAAGATCACTGGCGATAACACCAACACCATGCCAACCTCGTGTAGATTGCAAAGCAACCTTTCACGAACATCTGATGGTACGTTTAATTGATTGATCCGATCGAATAACAGCTCAATTAGTTTATATTCAATGGTTGTACGATTGTTTAAGAGGAACATGAGATGGCGATATTCCAAATCGTGGTCGCAGAATATTTGACTTTTCATGTCATTGATAATTTGTTGACATTCATGGTTGAGATTGATGTAAGTATCGTGACCAACCGAGCAATTAGAAGAGTTTACCAGGAATTTCTATGGATGCATAACCTAAGTGAATACACAGTTAGTAAATGATCACAAAGTAAACGTAGACGAAGGCTATCAATCTAGGTGCGTTTGCAGCTTTTCTCTGTCATCACTAACGATTGTCTGCTCTACGCATGTTGAATTCAATATGTTCATTGCTAACTTTCAAAATCGACCAAATCCCTTCTATCGTATTGGTGTCCAAGTATCCTGATCGTGTGAATGTGTAGAAGTGTGAATTTTGTGGGACAAACCTAATGAAATAAAACAGAGGAAAAGAATAAAACATGTTTTGTTAGAGCTTTGTTTTAATCTAATCTATACACGATAGTGGTTCGATAGTTTATTTAGAAAAAAAAAAAGAAAAGGAAGTCTATGACAGATAAGTCAGCGAAAGGCTCTATTTCTCAGCTTTTCTCGTTCTGTGCTCGTTGTTGATTATTTGCTCGGCGTCGTAGAAGTCGTTTGATCAAATTGGGATTGTTTTTGGCTCCTATGATCAGGCGTGTATTGATCACTGGAGTTTGACGAAAGTGTTCATTCCATAGTTGATGAACATCCATTTTGTAATTAGACAGTCGACTTTCATATGAGTAATGGATAATCACATTTGAATTCCATTTCGATGGGCCTGTTTTATGGAATTGAACCATGGATTCACTCATGGATTCTTCATTGGAGCCACATGATGCTTTGGAAATACTTGATTGTATGGCAATTTCCTGAATAGTAGGTCTATTCAATAATTCACGACGTTTCTTGACGAAATCTTGTTCACTGCGATACGTGTCAACTATGCTTTGATCAGCTTCGTTCTGATGGACGAACTTTTTGAATTGTGCATGAATAAATCGAGGCGGATAGCTAAGATTGCGAATATAAACATAGATTGTCTCGAACTGTAGTCGATGTGACTTACCCGTTATACAATAACATCAATTTGATGAACCGTTGCTCGTGTTCAAATACTGATAATGTTGAGGAGTATCGAACTGCCCGTAAAAGAGCAGTATGAATGATATTTCCGAATACATGTTTCGGATGATCAGATGTAAACGGTACCACATATGGTTCAGCTGCTTCCTTATGATGAACTGATGTTGTCAAGGTGCCATTCTTGTTTTCGATATGAACATCCAAAAATGACACATCACATCCAATGTTGCGCACCAGTTTAATGTTCGAGTGCCAATTGTTAGCCGTATCTAGCATTTCATTAACTTTGTCTAATGGCTCATTTGAAGTGAAAAAGACATCATCGATATATCTAACGTGAAAGAATTTGAGATGACGAGTGGAAGAATGTAGCATTTGAATGGAAAGGTGAAACTTACCGGCCATAGATTTCGTTTGAAGATGCTTGTCGTTGGACAAATTCCTTTTCCCATTTCCACATGAATATATTCGCCAACGTTAAAGTGAATGCAGATCCCATCGGACCCCCGACGACTTGTCGATAGAATTTCTTCTCATAGGTGAACACATTTTCTGTGATGACAAGACGAGCTAATTTCCGAATGGCATCAATTGGTACGCCATTCACTTTTCGGTATCCATGTTCCAGGAGAAATTCGGTTAGAATATTCAGAGATTCTTTTTGTGGTAACGTTGTGTATAAATCTGTGATATCGAATGTGCACAGATGAGTTGTTGGTTTCAGATAGCCGTTTGCCGCATATGTTTCGAGACGACGAATGAGATCAACACCGTCGATAATTGTAATTGAACGAACATGTTTATCAAATAACGGTCGAAGTAATCGATCAAGAAATTTAGAAATGCCAGTTGTTGGCATATTCATTGATGATACAATCGGTCGCAGTGGAGTTCCTTCCTACAAATAGGAATAAAACAGTAGGCGGTAGTCAGCAGAAAATATTCAGAAATTACCTTATGTGGCTTTGGAACGAAGTATAAATAAGCGAGTTCAACTTTGTCTCGTTTCGGCATCATTCTATTAAATTGCCACGCGAGAATATGTTTTTTCGAACGAAGATCGTTGAGCAGATGAACGACTTTGTCGAAGACTGGCCATAGTGGATCAGTCTCTAATTCAACATAGGCTCCCGTTTTTTGCCGATAAGCGTCTGCTTTTCGCTCGTAATCTTTGCCATCGCCGACATGAAATATGCCACCCTTGTCCGTCACACGAAGAATCTGATTGTATTTCTTCAGACGACACTTGATTGATTGGATTAATTGCCGTTCTTATCGAGTACGGTGGGCATCAACATACGACACTGTCGACATGTAGCGTTCACAAAGATACGTAGCAAATTGATGAGAGAACTGCTTGATGACTGTCGATGTCGGTGACATGTGATGTACGCGTACGAGAAAAGGAACGACAACATCAAGAATTCTATTGTATTCTCGTTCGATTTGCTTTTCTTGATGTGTACGTGGATATTGATATGTTTGATTTGGTCGAATATAGCTAGGACCTTCAAAAATGGACAAGAAAAAAAAATCAAGGATATCGTCGACAAGAGGAGGCTAGGGTATGTATGTCTCATGCTTACCGTTGTGTGACAGATAGTCAAGTTGGAAGCGATTTAAGCCCCTTTTGGCACATCAACTATAACTTGTGCATACACCCAAGGGAAAGGGCAGTGGGAAATAGATAAGAAAGAAAAGAGATAACTGCCGAGAAAATCATGTCAATAAGTTTATTTCATACAGAAATAAAGAAGATTCGAGCTTTCGTGCCCTATCTAGTACACATTGTCGAGAATGACGATATAAAATCATTCACTGCCTCTATATGAACAGGGAAAAAGAAAGAGAACAAACATCAAGGATATATATGTCGTAGGCCAATGTAAGATTCAGGCCAATCCAGGATTGGCCTAGGCTATTCTCAGATCCTGGTTTGGCCTGGTTTGAACTAGGATTAACTTAAAATTTTGGATCAAAACTCATTTTTTTTTGCCTGAAGTCAATGGCAGATTACACATCAAATAGTTTTAAGGTTTCATGATATACTACCATTATCTATATCAGCGAGTTTCATATCAC